TGTAAAAGTGAGTGGGTTTTTAAATAATTGGGGGTAAAACTTTGGGTTAGAAGAGATTTTTCCCTTTATCTTTTCACTCTCCTTCTCTACATTTCATTTTCATTATTTAACTTTTCGTCTCTTCTTTTAGTGAACTCCCAAACAATTATATGTCATGATTATTATAAAGAAATACATGCAAATATTGAGATCAAGACACAAATAGCTGACAATCATAAACACCCAGGTTTAACGAGGCCTGAACATTATATGTCCTTCTACAACAACGCGTCGTTATTATTATTTATTCTGAAAAACGAAGGGCAAAGAGAGAAGAGATGGGGGACTTTTTAAACCAGGAAAAGAAAATCCTCTAAAAATGAATTTGACTTTTCAATTAAATTGTTTCCTATATTAGATATAAGAGCTTTGCTACATGGACCCAAAATATGGGACCAATAGGAGGGACAAGTGATGTGTCCCCCTCCTATTGGATAATGAGTTGGTCATCATTAACTATTGGATAATGAGTTGTTCATCATTAATGATGACCAACTCATTATCCAATAGGAGGGGGACACCTCACTTGTCCCCTCTATTAGTCCCATATTTTGGATCATTTGAGAATTTTTCTAGATATAAAGATTCATCTATATTGTTAATTCATTCAATTGGCCTAATAAAAAAATCCATTTAAATCAAAATACGATGCACAGCCCGCTACAGATCCCAACGCGCTCCCGTAAAAAGGCCCGTCCTGATCCTCATCGGATCTTTCCGTTTTCGGCAATCTCTGCTCTCCATCCCCAAACGCTTTAATTTTCGCGCTCGCGCCCAAATCTTCAGCTGATTCCGATGGCGACCAGGATCCTTCACCTGCTGAGGGAGCGGCGGAACGCGGCGTACGCAACCCTCGCCCTCTTCGTACTCTCCTTCTCCTTCTTCGTCTTCACTAGAGTCAGCAACCCCCTCGCCTCCTACCAAAATCTCGATTCCATGTCCAACCCTAAGTCCCAAGGTGGTAGCTTGCAGATTCAAAAAGAGGATCCACAAAACCCTAACCCTAGCCCCACTCAAGCCGACAATGCGCAGATTCGAGATGAGCGGCAAGATCCTAACCCCAACCCCAGTCCGATTCGAGTCGATAATCCACGGATTCAAGATGAGCAACGAGATCCTAACCCTAACCCTAGCCCTAGCCCCGTTCAAGTCGATGGCCCTAGCTCCGTGCAAGTTGATAATTCGCAGGTTAATGAAGATAGCAACGATGATGAGCCAGCTGAGGAGCTTGAAATGAAGTGGGAGAAGTGCGGAGGTGCTCAGTCCGTTGATTACATCCCTTGTTTGGACAACTGGAAGGCGATTAAGGAGCTGAAGTCGAGGAGGCACATGGAGCACCGGGAGAGGCACTGCCCGAAGCCGAGCCCGAGATGTCTGGTGCCGTTGCCGAAGGGGTATAAGACTCCGGTGCTGTGGCCGAAGAGTAGAGACATGGTGAGATTGATGGTTTGGTAAGCAAGTTTTTTGAGCTTATTGGTTGTTGATGTATATTGAATCGTGATGCGAAAGTTTGATTCTTGGTGAATTTGGCATATTGGTTGATGTCATGCTGTGCTTAAAAAAAGGTTAGCATGTGTAGAATAGGGTCACTCGCTTTCGTTGAATTAAACATCCTGCATCGATCCTCTTAATACTTGGTTACTCGTGCAGTTGCATAAACAGTGAAAAGGCTAGCATGTGTAGAATAGTGCTTGGTTACACCTTTTCTTCTTGTTTTTTGTGCGAAGTTATCTATAAGCACGCACTATTTTTTTTAATGCTTCTTTTATCTCTTTTTTCTTTGTATCTGGAACTTCTTTTACTTTGTAGATATTAACAGGGCTGGTGCTTCTTATTAGCGTATTTTCCTATTCATATATTCTTTAAGCATACAATCAATCTGTTGCTTGCTTCTATGAATTTCTTGGTGAAAGATACTCTAATAATCATCTTGAGGGTGCCCATCACAATTTCCTTTCTATCTTTAAAGAATAGCCTCGGTTGGAAGAGTACTCTTAGAGCGTCCACATTTTTAGTTTTCAATTTAGAAGATCAGTTTATTAAATTTGGTTTGCAACGCGTAAACTAGTTTTCTTCTTACTACTAAGACTACCTCCCAAGTATGGATATTCAGCACAGATTACCTAGCATAATCGTTGCAGTCATCGACTATCTTAGTGATATTTTTCTAGAGTCAGTTTTATTCTCCTTGATCATGATGCCCATACATGCTACATAACCTACATCAGCAATGATTCTAGCTATGAGCTCCATCTTTTTTCAATCGCTTAAAGCTTTAGTCCCCCGTAAACATGCGGTTGTATCAGCTGGATTGCATAGTCTAGTGGAATAGCTCTACCTATATTCCCACATGCCATGGTGATGAGGAAGAGGTTGGCGACTGAGGAAGAGGAAGAAGAACAGGAGAGGTGGGCGTCAGTTGGGAAGGAAAGAGGAGAGGCCTGGTTTTAGCATCTTGGGGGACATGTTTGGTTTGAGCCACTTCACGTGAACCAGCAGCACACTTTAGCTTAGATCAGAGCGATCAATTATTTTGGTCTTACCAAATTCTGGATGTTATGAACTGTTGCACCTCTTTCTTTTTGGTATAAGGCCACACTTAGCTTACAACTTTTTTGCTTGACATATTATTGAAGCATGCTAGAAGCGGTTAAGCATATGGTGATTGCTCCTGCTTCTTGTGATCTATACTTTCTATGTCCAGTTTGTTCTGAGAATGTCTCGCTCACAGCCAACCAGGTCCATTAGTTAACGCAGCAAACTTATTCTTATCTTAATAAATGGTAGATTGATCTTCTCTGTCATTGACCATAATGACTTGGCTTGTAATTATGAATCTCAGGATCATACTCCTTGGGCCCCGTACTTTTGTGTTTGTAATGGTTATCCTTGAACCACTTTTGTTTACCTTACATATGCATTTAACTCATCATAACAAAAGTTACACAATTTTGCTTCATTTTCAAATCCTGTTATTTAACAACTTGGTACTTGTTGCATCCATTATTGATATAAGGAAGATAGTTGTATGTTGATTACATGAATCATTCATTCATACGGATGCTAAGAGTTATATTCCAAACAATAGTAATCCTGTCTATTATTTTCATACATCAAAAAACCTTTAATGAACAGTTTCTTTGATCCTATTGCAGATCTGGTATGACAATGTTCCTCACCCTAAATTGGTTGAGTATAAAAAGGAACAAAACTGGGTGAGAAAATCTGGTGACTACTTCATATTTCCTGGTGGTGGGACTCAATTTAAAGGCGGAGTTGCAAAATATGCTCAGTTCATTGAGCAGGTACGGTAAATTATCTAGAATGATAATACTTTGATCGATAGTAGAATCATAACCGTGAGTTAGTGTAATTTATTTGTATCATGGATTTGTAAGGTCATGATGGCTTAACAATACAACTAATATCTGATACTATAAGTATCTCCAGGTTTTGTATCTATATTTATCAAAATAATTATAATTCTCTATTTGGGAAGTGGAAAATTACATTAATGTGTCTACAGGTGAAATGAAATTGTGAACCAACCATTCATGCAGGCTTTTTACGTAGTCTTTTATATAATTTTGGGCGTCTAGGATATATTATGAGTATTGGATAGGAATATTTCTCCTTTAGTGGAGTCACTATGCACTAAAATAGTAGTTTATTATTTATCTGCTATTTTACTTAAGAATTTTGCTCTACGAGTAAAATGTCTTGAATTATGACTGTGTAACATAAGTAATCTGTTATAATTCATTGTGCACAAATGCATTGAATTGCATTGAATTGAATTAGATGGACATGATTCTGCCCATATCATTCCCATTTGTGCTGCAGTTTACATAAGAAACATTGTATTGCACTATTTTTTTAGACTTTTACAACCAGTGAAGAAAATTAAGCTTATTTTGTTTTATTTAATTGTTAAGTTAGGAATATTAATTCATTAAGAAAACATAATTTGTGTTAATTCATTAAGAAGCATAAGAAAAAGATGGGGAAAACAGAAAAAATAGGCTTTTGACAATCTTTTTTCTTCTTTTTGTTCTTCACTGGTTGTTTCTGAGTTTCCTAGAGAAACTCATCCTACATCACGCAGGCTCAATGGATATAAAATGCTTTTTCTGAACTTTGGATACAGAATTTTCTGAATAGTTATCACACACCATATACTATTTGCATAAGTTATCGGTTAACTACTAGTACCAGTGAGCCAAGATTTGCTTCCTACAAGTGTAACGTAATTTTGTTTGTGTTACTTGGTTCACCAGACTCTGCCTACTATTGAGTGGGGAAGGCGCACAAGAGTGATCCTGGATGTTGGCTGTGGTGTTGCGAGCTTTGGTGGGTACCTGCTGGATAGAGATGTTCTTACAATGTCACTTGCTCCGAAGGATGAGCATGAAGCCCAGATACAATTTGCACTTGAGCGTGGGATTCCAGCTTTTCTCTCAGTTATTGGGACTCAGCGGCTTACTTTCCCTGATAATGTATTTGATGTAATTCACTGTGCTAGGTGCAGGGTCCACTGGGATGCAGATGGTAGGCTGGGTTGCAAGGTGCAACTATGTGAATGCTTTCTTATTTTTCACCTTCTCTCTACTCACATACAAAAGATGTTTGTTGTACATGTTTCCTGTTGTAGGTGGAAAGCCATTGATGGAGCTTAACAGGATCCTGAGGCCTGGTGGTTTCTTCATCTGGTCTGCGACACCAGTTTATCGAGATGATAATGCAAGAGACAAAAATGTCTGGAATGGTTAGTGAGGCTGTAATTAAATCTGTTTATGAAGGGAAATATGTCTTTCAAAGGGGGTAAATTAGTATCTAAAGTGAAATTACATTAACTGGGAAAGATGCGTGTTAACTGAGTGCTTAGGAAATTCACTGATTACAGTGTATTTCAACAGTATTACTTCTTCACCTTTAGATGTTAAAATAAGAATTTTGGATAATAGGGTAAAATAAAGTACGTGAGCTCGTAAAGTACGGAAATTACATGTTCTCAGGTAATGATTATACATCCCAACTTCCCTACAATAAAATGTTGCAAGGAATAGAAAAAACTAATTAAACTCTTCCTTCTCTTGGCTGTATCTGTTTATACACGTCATGAATCCTTTGCATTTTCCATCGACTGATATTTTCATCACGCACTTACTTGCCTTTAAAATGATAAAACAGTTTTGGATTATTCAGCCGCCATCTCCCTCGTAATCATCGTGTGTTTTGAACCTTGCTACAGCTATGGTAAAGTTGACAAAGTCTATGTGCTGGAAGACAGTGACAAAAGCAATAGATGCAAATGGAATTGGACTTGTAATTTATGAGAAACCTGTCTCAAATTCTTGCTATGAAGAGAGAAAGGAAAATGATCCTCCTTTGTGTGCACAGGATGCCAGACCAAGTCTTTCATGGTAATTTCTTTATAAGTGGCATATGATTTGACAATTCACGAATTGCCTAATTCTTCTTGTTGATTTTTTGTTTTGTTTTGGAGAGTAGGTACACTCCCCTTGACAATTGTCTTCCATATCTCCCAGCACTTAGCTCAGTTGAAGAGAAGGATTGGCCCATTTCGTGGCCCGAAAGGCTCAGTGTTGGACCTTCAAGGCTACAACTGGAACAAGACAAGAGAGACGCTGAAGAAAAATTTTACAACGACACAAAGAACTGGGATACACTTGTCTCAGACCTTTACTTGCATAGTCTTGCAATCAATTGGTCAAGCATTCGTAATGTGATGGATATGAATGCTGGCTTTGGAGGGTAAGGTATTTCATAATTGATGTGGATTTACATTCTTTTATCTAAATAAATGAAACCATGTAATTTACATGTGGAGGGGTACAACATGACTCCGATACAACTCAAAACTGCAAATTCTGTGTATGGAACCTTGTCACCGCGATGTGCGTCAAACATTGACACTGAATGAGTTGCACATACTGATACAACATGAATTTTATGAACAGTTGACGCCTTGATGACAAAGAGTGTGTTTGCATGTGCATGCATGCACGCATGTGGGCTTTACATGTCTGTTAAAGCTTGAGTTATAGATGAAAGACAAGATGTTTAGATAGATAAATAGACGGGTATGTAGCTAGCAAGTGGATAAATAATGGATGGACAATTGCCCATATGCACTCTTCCTTCTTCTTTTTTCCCAGTGCAAAGTAAACTACTCTATCATATCAATGTGATAGACTTTTTCCTGTACATGAACACTTTGTTTTTTGCTCACTATAGAGGGTAGGAGTTAGCATCTAATTTCCATGCAAATTCTGTATACATTTCACCAACAAGAAAAGGATGAATCATCCTCTTCATCCTCCTCATCTACTGGGATTACTATTGGTCTCCAGAAAGTTTTTACTTTGTTTTCTTGTTTGCTCTGAGCTTAGATTATTTTACTTCCATAAATTATTAACTTCTCACACAAGCACCTGGTTTTCACCACCTTTAGTTTCTCACGTACCTTACTGGCTTTGGTTAGAAGCAGTAATGTAAACCATGGGATCTACGATCTATAAGCATCTCTTCGGCTGTAAGCGGCTGTTGATTTCCTGTCATGGTTATCGACACTAGTTAAGCAGCTAAAATCATATGAGGATACATGTATTAAGACCGCACCTCTTCTTGCTAGCACTTACAACAGACCTTCTCTTGAACAGGTTTGCTGCATCTCTTATCAAGCAACCTCTCTGGGTAATGAATGTGATACCTATCCATGGGCCAGATACTTTACCGGTTATATTCGACAGAGGGCTAATTGGAGTCTATCACGACTGGTGTGAATCTTTCAACACATACCCACGGACTTATGATCTACTGCACTCCAGTTTCCTATTTGGAGATCTCACACAAAGGTACTCTCTGCTTTTTTTAGCATTCTTTCAGTTATTTGATGCTTGAGAAACTGAAATTTTGGCGTATCCTTTTGCAGGTGTGATATCGTAGATGTAGTAATAGAAATGGACCGAATATTGAGACCTGATGGATGGGTTTTGATTCAGGATACAACAGAAATGCTTAAAAAGCTACAATCAATATTCAATTCTCTTCAGTGGGTGACCGCTGTTCACGGCAGGAAGTTCCTTGTTGCTAAAAAGAGTTTCTGGCGTCCTGGCTAGATCAAGCCCACAACTGAGAAGAGTAGTTTGTTCATATGCGCGACCTATTTATTTTGGCGAAGCCTGACTTTTGTTATTTGTTTTTTTTTCCTCCTTTTATTTTTCCATAGGGAATTTTCTTCCACTGTAAGATTTATTTCTGTTTCACGTATATCATTTCATTACCATTTTTTATTTTATTCATATTGGTGGGACCAATAAGATGTTATATGGGTTCACACAACTTGTAAATTCTGCATTTACAAGATGCCGAGAATGTTATTTACTTTGTTGATTCTCCTATATATCCCGTCTCAACTGTTGCTACTTGTACGTTTATGGCGACTCAATTCAGTCGATCACAGCTTTCTCGAACAAAGATGCAAACTTTAGGGAGGTCGTCTGCTTGCTAATGTTCAAAGTACGCTGTAAATTCGAGGCTACTGAGATTTTGAAGAAAGTTGGCGCGGTGCTCCTCTTTTAAGGATAAATTCTGTGTTTATTGTGTTTCTGTTTTTGCATGAAGGCTGTGCTTGTAAACTAGACAACTACGTTCCAAGCAGCGCACGAGTAGTTTTGGACCTTATAATATGTTTATCGTTACTCAGTTGGAAAATGGTAAATTTCATAGAGCCCCCAAAAGTTTGGCCCATTTTCAGATTAAGCCAAGGGCTTCTTCTAAACTATCACGTAGCACCAGAAAAAAGTAGTTTTATCTGACAGAACGAGTAGGGGTGGGCAAAAACCGAAAAAAACCAGTTCAACCGAAAAAGCCGCCCGAAAAAGTGGGCCGGTTAACCGAACCGGATTAAATGGATTGGAAGAAGACTCTAAACTGTCCGAACCGAATTAAACCGGATTGGATCCGGTTTGAACCCCTGAACCGCCCGAAAAAACCGAACCGAATTTTCTAATATAAATACTGAAAAATCCCTAACCCTAACTATTTCTGGACTATTTGCATGGTTTGTAACTAAGTAACTCTTTAATGAGTTTATTATTGTGGTATGGTATGTACTTGTTGATATGGTTTGCGCTCATTTCACTGATTTCAGTTTTTTTTGTTAGCTGTGACAATGGTGTTACTTCAAACAAGCTCCACATTTTATTGTTTGGGGGAAAAAAATTAAGTAGACAAAATGGACAAATAATGATACTTCATCAGAAATTAATAGGCAATGATCTCAGGTGTGGGCAGATTTTTGTGAAATGGAAATAATTCGGCCCAAAACCGAAACCGAATCGAACCGATCCAAATTTCGGTTGGGCCGAATATTCGGATGAAGGGGAAAAAATCTAGATCTGGATGAGAGTTTTGAGAATTCAAAAAATTCGGATTGGATCCGGATTGAGCTTAAAACCGATCCGAACCGAATATGCCCGGCCCTAAGAACGAGGGTTCTTTGGAAAAGCTTTTGGTGCCGTCTTGAAGTGCGCCAAACTTCTGGGGCTATGTGAAGTTTACCATTATAAAATGTAAAACTCTGATTTTCCCTTTGACTAAATACAGATTTTGACAGGGCGATATATGCAAAATAACCCTCCTTCCCAAATACGCTCGCACCTCCGCTCCCATTTTGATCGTAATTTAGCACGAGGGTTTACGTTTTACCCCCCACCCCATTTCTTCGAACAAAATGAGGATCGTTCGAAGCTCATCGTCTCCTCTCTATCAGCGCCGCCCTCGCTTCGCACAAAACACTGCGCGCCCAGGCTGCTCAGCTTCATCGAACGCTGTTTCTCTCGATCAGTTCCGAAATCTAACGGCGCTCTTCGTAAAGAAACCCCCGATTCGAGAACACCAAGTGACCCAATTCCTCTTGAGCAATCAAAGGAACCCTAAAACCGCCCTCAGGTACTTCAAATCCGCCGTCAAAGATGGTTTCTTTGCTCTCGACCCCTTCTGCATCTTGCTCCACATCCTAATTCGATCCGGGCGCCTCTCGAGCGCTCGAGAGCTGCTGAAGGATTCTCTCTTGAGCGATTCGAGCCCTGAGCCTTCGGACGTCGTGGATAAGCTGGTCGAAACGTCGAAAAGGTGCGATTTTGATTTCTCTCATCCTCGGTCGTTTGATTCTGTGTTGGTGTGCTATGCTCGTGCCGGGAGAGTGGACAATGCGTTATTGGTATACGATCTGATGGTTCGAAATGGAGTTATTCCGGGTATTAGAGCTAGAAATTACTTATTGTCTACGTTGCTTAGGAGTGATTTTAATGAGAGAGGCTGGGAACTTTATGAAGGAATGAAGGGGAAGGGGATGGGATTTGATTGTTGTAGTTTTAGTATACTGATGCAGGCTTGCTTGAAAAAAGATGAACTTGAAGAGGTGGAGGCATTGTTTAGGGATATGATTGATCGTGGGTTGAAGCCCGATAGAATTGCTTATTCCACATTGATTCAGGCTGTTTGCAGGAAACCCGATTCGAAGAGGGCATGTGAACTTTTGTGGGGGATGAAAAAGGTTGGACTTGTTCCGCGGGGGTTTGTTTATACTTGGGTTATTGGAGCTTGTGTGAAACAAGGAAACATGGAAGATGCGTTGAGGGTAAAAGATGATATGGTTGAGGACACTGCGACACCACTTAACTTGGTGGCTGCAACTAGTTTGATTAAGGGTCATATTGATCAAGGTGACCTAGAAAGCGCTTTGAGTTTGCTGGCTACTGTTGCTGGGCAAGGAATAGCCCCAAATAATATTACTTACTCCATTGTACTTGAAGGTTGCTGTAGAATGGGAAATCCGGACAAAGCTTACGAGGTCTATTGCCAGATGAGAAAGGGCGGCTTGCATCCCGACGCATATGTTATGAGTTCACTGATGCAATGTTTTTTGAGTAGTAACAGACAAAAACAAGCATTTGCTTTGTTTGATGAGGCAGTCGACTTGGCTACTGCAGATGTTTTCCATTACAACATCCTTATGCATTGGTTGTGTAAAGAGGGTAGACTGAAGGAGGCTTGTGATTTGTGGGTTAAAATGGAGGGTAAGGGGTTGAAGCCAAATATTTTTTCATACAACCACTTGTTGTTCGGGTATTGTAAACAAGGTGACATGAATGCAGCGGATAATTTGTTTAAACAATTGTTAAAGAGCAGTATCCAACCTAATTCCATTTCGTATACTAATTTAGTCGATGGCTACATTAAGAAGAAGGATTTTGATCGAGCTTGTGATATCATGAATGAAATGCAAGAGCGGGGTGTTTCTTGTAATGATCATACATTTAATTCTTTCATAAATGGCCTTTGCAAAGCTGGTCGGATGTCTGACTTGAATGAAGTGCTTCACCAGTTCAAGGAGCAGGGGTTTGTCCCAAGCTGTAGGACTTACAACAGTATCATTCACGGTTTTATAAAAGAAGGAGATATGACCTCAGCAGTGTCTGTCCTTCATGAAATGGGTAAAGTTGGCATTTCACCTGATGTTGTTACATACGCTAGTCTAATAGATGGTTATGGAAGAAATAATTGTCCTGATCTTGCTTTAAAATTGTGGAACAAAGTAAGAAGGAAGGGTCTCCAAATGGACACTGTTGTGTACACCACAGTTATTGTTTGGTTATGCAAGGAAGGAAAGATGGAAGCTGCGCTTGGCCTTTTGGATGAAATGCCGAAAGTTGGGTTGGCACCAAACGCAGTAATATTTAATAGTCTTTTTGCTGCGTATAAAGAAGCAAATAATATGGATGCAGCATTTGACTTGCATAGGAGAATGTGTAAAGAAGGAATCCCTTGTGACACAGCTACATATACCACATTAATCGATGGAGCATTAAAAGTCGGTAATTTGATATTTGCATCAGAGCTCTACTCTGAGATGTTGGAGAATAGTATTGTTCCAGATGCTATAACTTATGCTGCCCTAACACGTGGTCTCTGTATCAAAGGAGACTTAGAAAATGCTCGTAAGGTCTTGGAGGATATGAATGTACGCCCTAATGCACTCATTTATAACATGCTGATAGCTTGCTATTTCAGAGAAGGAAATGTGCAGGAGGCCTTTAGATTGCATGACGAAATGCTTGACAGAGGCCTTGTGCCTGATGACAAAACTTATGATATTCTTGTAAGCATGGAATATGGAGGCAATGAGTCCTTTGAAGGGACCTAATGACTTATGCTGACCGTCCTGCTTGTTACACATTCTTTTTACTTGCAATCGCTCCATTGAAGGCTGGTTCAGCTGAGGAAACTCAAATAAGTCCAGCTTGCGCTCTGCTATGCCTCCAAAGGTAACTTCCATAATACTGTAGTTGTAGGCTGGTAGTATTTTTTTTTAATGTTTTAGAGCACTTCCTTTCTTACACCAATTTCATTACTTGTTGACCTAATTTACCAGTTTAGCTTGTAACTTATCGTTATTTCATTCTAGTACCTTCCAATTTCTCTGTTATTAGCCTTCTATATTTAGATTATTCAAATAGAATAGGGTTCACATGCATCTTCCTGATTTCTGATGTCACAAGTATGTACTGAAAAAACATCAATGCCTTTTTTCTTTACCATTCTCAAAGTATAATGTCGTTTTTTATGGATTAGTCATTTGCTCTTATTACACTGGTAAATTGGCAATTCTCAATCTTCACTGTTTATAACTACATAAATATGCATGATTTCTAAACACAGTTTGAAGCGAATCTTCTCAAGTGGAATCTAGTTTCGTGGACATGTGACAAGGACATCATGTCCTGCGAAGCATCATATGTATTCTTTTATGTAAGAATAATCTGTCTGGCCCATTAGCCGGCAGAAATTATGCATTATGCCGTGGCTCATGCCGCCTAATACTTTATATGCTATGTAAAATTTCATATATAAATGCATTGCAACATGTCATATAATAAGAATAATTTTTGACATTGGTGACTTTATTCCTGTGCGTGGAATTTGACGCATAAAGCGCATGTTCTTCTTTTAACATGTGGATACTTTCTAATATTATTAGTTTAAGCTATGAAGCACGGATACTACCCCGGAGGCCACGAATCCGTGTCTGACACGAATCAGACACGGATTCGTGCACGACACGTGTCGGACACGGCTAGGATTCGGCGGAACCAAAGAAAAAAAAAGAAAAACGGAGGGAGAAAGACATAAACCCGAAACCCAAACCCAAACCCCAAAACTCAACCCTAATTTTCACTCACCCACCGTCACCGCCGCCACAAATCACAGATCTCTTCGGATCCCTCGTCCTCGTCGTTCCCTCAAAATCACAGATCTCCTCGTCCTCGACGCTCGTCCTCGTCGATCCCTTGTCCTCGTCGATCTCGGCTCCGTCGTCGCAGGTTAGTCTCTCTCTCTCGATCTTCGTCTCTCTCTCTCTCTGGATCTCTGAGTCTCTCTCTCTCTCTTTGAGTCTCTCTCTCTGATTCTTTCTCTCTTTTCTCTTCGTCTCTCTCCCTCTCTGTCGATCTCTTCATCTCTCTCTCTCAGTCTCTCTCTTATTCTCTCTCTCTCTCCTTTTCTCTCTCAGTCTCTCTCTCAATCTCTCCTCTCTGAGTCTCTCTCTCTGATTTGTTCTATCTTTTCTCTTCGTCTCTCTCTCTCTCTTATACTCCTTTTCTCTCTCTGTCTCTTTCTCTCTCTCTCAATCTCTCTGTCCCTCTCTCAGTCTCTCTTATATTAATTTTTTTTGAAAAGACTAACTTTTTTTGTTTATGCGGCTTCGTGATACTGCTGAGCAACTGAGCAAGTCACAAATCTACAATCCTATTCTTCATTTGATATTTTGTTTTTTTTCAATTTTAGTTTCAATTTCAGTTTCAATTTCTTAACATATGAATATTTTTTTAATTTCAATTTCAGTTTCTTAACACAAATGAATTATTAACATTACACAAATGAATTATTAACATTTTTGAACCCTTCTAACTTGATTCATTGATATGTCTAGTAAGCATTGGGAATTTTGTCCATTTTCTATACAAATGAATCTGAGCTTAATTTTGTAAACCTGCAGTGAATGTTGTTGTGTTTTAAACATTCTAGACTATAAATACAAATAACTTGCTACTCTTAATTGTCCATTTTCTTCATGTTAATTTCAAATGATCATTTTGTCAATATGTATGTGAAGGGAAGAAACATTAAAAATGTTTGACTATTTAATTTATATCAGCACCTTTGAATATTTTTTTGCAATGGCACGATGTCTATATGCAAGTTTCCTCTTGTTGGCAATTGTTAGTCAATAATAATATTACGTTCACACCTTTGTATTTATCACATAAGTTTACTTCTCTCTTGTTGGCAAGTTTCCTCTTGTTGGAATTTATTCTCTCATTTTTATATGTACACCAAATAAAACAAGAACCGCATCCTAATTAGAAAATAGGAATACAATATGAATATACATATTTAATGAATGAATTATGGATATTTATTTTGGTAGCTGTGTTGGAAAATTTGATTGATCTTTCATCCTTGCTCGTTGCTACTTAACTCTCAAGTATTATCTGTAAAAAGGAAAACAAAGGCAGTGAGCAATAACTTATTAATTAGTATAATTAGAAAAAGAGCTTAAAATAGTAATTAGCACAAAGTCAGTGATAGAATGAGTATGTACTCCAATTCCTTTTTGTTTACAAACTTGTTATTTTGTGATAGATTCATAATTTAGATTGTTAGTTGAATTTTATAAAATTTTCTATATATAATAATAAATTGAAAAAAAAATTCCTCGCCGTATCCCCGTATCCTATTTTTTTGGATTTTGCCGTATCCCGTATCCGTGTCCCGTATCCGTATTCGTGCATCATAGAGTTTAAGGAAACATATTTTGCTTAAAAATATCTAATTTAATGGAACATCGTGATGGCTTAAAAGAGCGCACACAGAACTTCATTACATGATAGTCTATGAATTACGATTAGCTCTAGAAAAAAGTTTTGACTATGAAACACTGACCAACTGATGGGAAACTAGGTTGCCTTCAAGAATTTTTGTCGAGGAGTTTACCTCTATATGAGCAATTTTGACAAGTTCGATTTTCCCATTTATAGTTCTGTTTTTAGTGGGTAAAAGGGATACGGAGGTTGAAAAAATAGATGAATCCCTGTGTTTTTTCCATAAAAGAAGTTAAGATAACTTAATAGTTATGCCAGCTATTAACATACTTAATCACCATCAATTTATAAACAAGTGAAATTGATAATATTGTGAATGATCATTAAATTAATGTCGGGTAATTCATTTTCTTGGGAAAGTGATCTGAAATTTTTGTTAGAAATGTTTGTCTGCTATAAAATGACTTGTAGATTTTTTTTTGGCAAGGGGCTAAACTTGGTTAGGAGACCCCTACACCTGAGGGAGAGCCTGAGTTCGAGCCCTCACACCATCAGGAGGACTCATCCTTTCAAGAAACCCCCTGGGATTTGGGGCCTACCTCATATCCATCTCAAATTCAAGAAAGCCGGCAATGGTATTTGAACTTAGGACTGTTGAGCAGGGAACAGACCCACCTAACCATTCTTTCGGACCCTGATCTGGAGCTATTTTTCAAAGGAAAACGATGCAGCCAATGAATATCAGTTAAAGATTTATAATAGGATACATTCTGATATAAAAGGATTATAGGTTTTTCATTTGTTTTGGTGAGATAGAAGCTTATTTGGTTAAAATATATTAGAATATATAAAGTGGTTTTGAGCTCATTATGACATAAAGCAATTGGTATTCAGTACTCACGATCCTATTTACACTGATTTTATACTTTTCTGGTCTTATGATGCTTATTATTTCATGATGCAGTGTTGAATACTAGGCTGCATTGATTAAGGTTTATATTTAAAATGCCAAACATAGCTGAGTATCCAAAGTATCTGATTTCCTAAGCTTTGATTTTACCTTGGAGGTCCATTACAGGATTTTTTTTTTTCACTCAACGATGTCAGCGACGCATCCAATAATGAATGATCACCACAATGTTAGGCAATTATTTACTCCACCAGAAGCAGACGCATCCAATAATGAATAATCGCCACAATGTTAGGCAATTATTTACTCCACCAGAAGCAAAAAATCGATATCCATCTTGTCACTGAGGTAAGTTCTACCTCGCCTGTTCTATTTTAGCACTTTTTGTCTTGCATTTTTGCCTGTGTTCCGTTAATTTATGCACGGTACATTCATCGAGATGTGAACATAGGAAATATGTTCATTCTCTGCAGAAAACAGATGAACGAGGTACCTTTTGTCCGGTATGAAGTATATGATGCCAATTGGTTCCTTCACATTTTTGGTTCGTTCATGTATGTGGTTCCTTCACATTTTTTATTCGTTTGGATGGATCCCTTGACCTAAGTGGTTACCACACGACTTTTGTGATATATGCAACTTATAACCTTAACCATGTAAAAAATCGTTATATTGTTTCGTCATGCAAAGGTCTTGGCAGCAAGATAAACAAAGGTGCTCCTCTGTGACTTGGGCATTAAGAAGTCTCTTGTGTACAAATGTCCTTTTTTTCGCAAGAACAGTTGATTCCCTCTGTGCAATATATTCATTGAATCGGTTGAACAATCACAAACCATTTATCAGTTTATCTCACCTAGCTATGAATTTCATTTTATTTATTATTATTTTCATTATTATTATTATTTTATTTTATTGTTATTCGCCTTGTCAACTATATTAGTTTCTGTGTGTATTATCCCAACAAATGATTCTTCCTCTTATCGCGGTAGATTTGGTTGGGTTGGCCAATGGGCCGGGCCTGATCTGTAACAGCCGGTCTCGGCCTACCAGTTTGTGTCATCTGGGCGGGTTCCAAGGCGGCCCAGAACGGCATTTCTCTTTGCACCTCTCATAAAATCAAATCACATCATAAATCATAAAAACGCTGTAACGCAATGTTGCACCTGAACTGGCAGGGTGTGTCCAATTCTGTTCGTGGGTTGTCTTTTTATCTTGTTTGTTAATGCGTCTAGTTAAGATTCGTCGACTATAATTTGTTGGGTCTTTTTAGATTTTTACCATAAAAATTTCCACTTGGTTATTCCTCTTATTGCTAGTGCCTTCTATACGGTGGAAGTCGTTATGGTTTAGATGTAGGCTTTGTTGGGCAACCGAACGAAAACAAAGGCTGGACTCGTATTATTTCTTAACCAGGCCGAAGTTGGTTGTAGATAGGGGGTGGACCAGAATTGATCAACTCTGGCTTGGTCTTGTGGGGCTAAGAATGACCTAAAAAAGGTCGGGCCAGAATTGATCCATCTTTTCCCAAAACACAAAATAGACTAAAACTCCCATGTTTGAATCTGGTCTAGTTTTAGCGGGTTGCAAAACGACACCTGTGTTCTGTCACCACTCTTGGTTCAATGGCAGAAGTTTCTAGTGGATTGCTTCCGCTTTCATATTGTTGCTGTTTCTGTTTGTTCTGGAGGATATTACAGGTGTCGACTCGTGAAAAGCAGGAATCTATGCTCATACATTATTGTTAAATTTAAACTAATGTGATATGTAACCAACTTAGTTAGTTTTGTGAACTTTAGGCTGTGTTTAGTGGCAGATCTAGAAAGACTTTCTTAAAGGAGCAGACAACATGTATTTACGTGAAAATAAAAAAAAATATAGAATACTATAAAATTATAGTTCCTGATCATAATGAATTCAACACGCTTTATTAGCATCAAGTAAGCTACTCAATGCAAATTAGGTTTCAATTTTTTCTCTCCAAATTGTAGGGGCATATTGCAATTTTAGAAAGCTTTAAAACATAAGTTTGAAGTTGTCAGTGGTGCAACTGCTCCCCTAAGGGGGTGTTTGGTTCAATAGTGAGCAAGAATAAGAATAGGAAATTGATGTTTTTTATGGATTCCTACCTAATCCACAAAAAATTTTAAGACAAGTTTATGTTGTCATGGAATCTTTTTTTCCCTTTCTATGTTTGTTTCATAACATAAAAAAAAATAGAATCTAACTTTATAGAATCTCTCCAATTCCTATTCTTTAGTTTGGTTTGGAATTATAAAATTTTGGGATAAATGGTGAGAACACCTTAGGTATTCTTACCACTCACTAGTTGATAAAATATTTAAGTAAGAATATTGGGTAATCTTACCCTTTTACCAAAATTCAAAACCGAAAAAAATATTGTAGCAACAGCTAGTTCCAAAGCCTCGGAGGCTATAAATTTGGATTGTGGGTTCATGATGCAAATGTATTCCTCATTCTTACCACTTTTTAAAAATTCTCTAGTTTGCAAGTTTCCTCCCCTCCATCAATATGATATCAAAAGAATGCCCTAAAATTTTTAAAGTTTGGTGCGATTGCAATCTCCAAACAACCATGAATGTGTGCAAGAATGATAAAAATAATGGGAGGTGTTATCGGGGGTGTGCAAAATACCCAAATAAAGAATGCATTTTTTTCGAATGGGCTCATGAAGGAGGAGAAATAAGCAACCAAGAAAACCAATTTGTCAAAGAAAATAGGTTCGGAGATAAGTATTTTTTGAAATCAAAGAGGCTGAAGAAAGAATTGAAACTTGTTGAAAAACAACTACTAGCTTGGAAAATTTTAATAATTTTACTAGTGATATTTTATACTATTTTAATTATTGTAAACTGCATGTCATGTACATGTACTTGTAAAAACTATTGATATTGTAATGAAAACTTTTATTGGAATTGAGTAAACTATCATTAAAAATATAGTTGATGTTGTAAGACTCAGGAATAGGCCATTTTGTCAAAATTGAATGCCCCACCTATAACTTACAGGTTTATTGTAGATTGCATTCTAATGATGGATTACCTCACCTAGACATTGTCAATTCAATGTAGGCTACAATCTTATCACATATTGCCTCATTTGAACATAATAAACGTTGTAAGTTAGATTGCATTCTTAGTAAACGCTAATCATCATTGTCAAATATCAACTATGGAACATCACAAGCTCCAATAATTTATCAACCGATAGCAACATAACTGACAACAACAAAACCGCACAAAACGAGCAACACAAGCTCATGAATGAGATTCAAAAGACAACAACATAGCCAAACCAAAGGAGCTTCACAAGCTCCACCTGACGGCAACAAAACTGCACAAAACGAGCAACACAAATCCTTGTATGACCATCAAAACCGACAGCAAAAAAACCAAACCAAAGAAGCTTCACAAGCTCCATCTGACAGCAACAAAACCGCAGAAAACGAGCAACACAAATCCTTGTATGACCATCAAAACCGACAGCAAAAAAACCAAACGAAAGGAGCTTCACAAGCTCCACCTGACAGCAACAAAACCGCACAAACTGAGGCAACACAAGCTCATGTATGACCATCAAAACTGAGCAAAAAAACCAAACCAAATGAGCTTCACAAGCTCCATCCGATAGCAACAAAACTAAAGGAAATGCATCACAAACTCCATCCACCCAAAGCATATAAAAAGAATTTTAAGGAAACGCATACCAGAAGACTTTATAAAGTTCAAATTATGAACTCATTGGTCATTCCCATCCATATTTACCTGCATCAAAATTAAAAAGTACTAATCCATCAATTACATGACATCATAGTGTTTTCATAGCAGCAAGTATTGCAACATTTATAGTTTGCAAATAACAAAATGATATCTGCGCAATAACACATACTTGTGCACAAACAAAATGCTCCACCAAAATGTAATCAAAGCCCAACAAATTAGCTAACTGTAGGCTGTCTAAAAATCACAATAGATAGCTGATCCTTATTAAAACACCGATGATGGAAGTTACACTCTGACGACTTCCAGAAGATTACACTTTGAAGACTTTCACGTAGACTGATGAAGGTTACAATTTGACGACCTTTGCAACAACCGATGAAAGCTCTAATCAACAGCCTCCACAATCAACATCGGGAGTTACAATCTGACGACTCTCATATATCAAAGAGCTAAAGCAAAGATTATAAAACGACGATCTTTGCAATGTTCTGACAGAAAGAGACTACAAATCGACGGTCTCTTCAAACCAAGATGTGGAAGTCCTCCCCGCGTACCAGCATCAAGACGCACCGCGTTCATAGCCACGAACGCAGCTCAGATGCAGCTTCCAACGCTGCCAACGCAGCTTCCAAATCGCTGCAAACGCAGCTCAGACGCAGCTTCCAACGCTGCCAACGCTGCTTCCAAATCGCTGCAAACGCAGCTCAGACGCAGCTTCCAACGCTGCCAACATAACTTCCAAATCGGTGCAAACGCAACTCCAACGCAGCTTCCAAATCGCTGCAAACGCAGCTCATGTTCGGCCGCAAACGTAGCATCTAACTGCTGCCAACGCAGCTTTTAACAGCTGCCAATGCAGGTTCCATCTGCTGCCCAACGCAGCTCGCAAACACTGCGTTCAAACGCAGATTTCACGCCAGAACGCGGATTTTGCGTTTCACTCGTTCAAACACGAGCTGAACAGTTTCAAAACCGTTTCCCAGGATCTGAGGGGATCACAACTCCACTTAGGAGCGGATTAAGGGGCGGTTACATCTCACTATCCCCACTTAGGAGCGAATTAAGGGGGCGGTTACACCCCTTAATCCTTTATAAATAACTAAGAAATCAGCTTAGTTCGGGGCGGGGATTTTAGGCTGGATCTTTCATCCTTCTTTTTGGCAGCAAAGAAGAGATCTTTGGGGGGGGGGGAATTGCTAGAGCTTTGGAGATCAGCAACAGGAGCTTTCTTCATTCTTGGCTTATAGACCGATTTCGGTTAAATCAACTCTTTCATAGAGTTTCAAACTCGTTCAGAGTTCTCCACAACGTCAAATCGTGAGGAGGAGATACCGTTCCAGTGAATCAAGACGTGCGGATCGTCAACGGAGAGCAAACTCGACGCGAGCATTCGAGGTAGGCACTTCATCGC